GTCTGCTGTGATTCTGTGTGTTATGCTTGTATTTGTAGCTCAGTGTGTGTTTGACATCCTTCAACAAAGTCCGATCAGCTTTACTGATGTATCCTAACCATGAGACGGTCACCCCAGCTACTACAACACTCCTGAACCTGCAGCACATCTCTAATAACAGCGTTGTTGTTTTGAATGTGACTCACTAATGGGTCACGTACAAACATGCTGCATCATCAGAATCCAGTGGGCGGAGCCTCAGTCCTGAGGATGTTTGAGGAAGACTGGAGGAAGAAGTCCTGCATTAGGAGTGTTTCAGTTCCTCTCTGCTCTGCATTCATAACATCAAACTATTAAGTCCTCTTAAAGTAATAAGGTTTATAATAAAGTCCTATTATGACTGAAGTAGTAACGCCATTGTTTCCAGAGAGCATAAAGCCTCTGCCCATGTTTCATAAGACTTTTTAATGGGGCCCGTTTGGCAGCCGGGAGTAACCAATCAGGACAGGCAGAGCTTTAATATTACAAGCATATTAGCGATCCCTTCACGGCCATAGGTTGGTAACACAGTGTTGTTTAACCTTTGCCTCTGCACCTGTCAGTGTTTTGAAGTCCCCAACAGAAAACTGTCAGGTACATGTTCTGCTTTGTGCTGGTGGGAGTAGAACAAGATATTTATACGACTGATTTTCAGGTGGTTCCGTCTTTAAGTGTCAGCGTGAGGTCCACGTACGTCAGGGAGGTCGTCATGAGAAACGGGACGTAACAGACGAATCACAGTGAGGGCAGGAACGCCAACATATACTTTACATCTGTGGAAGAGAATCTGTGGATGAATTTGGAAAAACACCAAAAAAGGTCTCAGGATCTGTTCATCTGCCAAACATGGTGGAGACGATGCACGGCTGTTGGTGGGAATGGACTGATGTTTGGCGATGCAATGGAAATATGACATGTATGAAAACTATTCAAGCCAAAGAATAAATAAATGAGTAAACAGAATGATGAGTGGAAAAACCCACAAACTATTGAAGTCAGCTGGAGCAACGGCAGAGCATCACAAAGAAGGAGTCTTTAGAGACGTCCATGTTCCAGACTTTAAATGAGCTGTTTGGAAACACTGTTATTGGCTAATGCTTTCTAATGCTTTCCAATTGCAACACAGCAGGATGGGGAACTGTTTTAAACGACACATCAGTTTTTAATTCCTGAAAGATATGAATGCCAAGTGATACGGCACAAACATGGGTGTGCAGCTGAGGTTACCACTTTAAGGAAGAGCACACGAAAGCCAAAGGTCATCCAGACTGAATTGTTTGATTTGTTGAACCCTTTAAACAGTCCCACACCAGTGTGCTGTGCATCACTCCCATGGGTTTACACAGTGGATTATCTACAATGTCATATAGCTTTAAAAAACTGGGTAACACTTCCTGTTAGATGGCTGAATGACTGAATGCTGGTTCACTCACTGTTGAGTGACTCTTATGCTGGCAGATTAACAGTACAGGGGGATGCTTTGGCCTCAGCCTTTGTTATATCCCCATGTTGTGAGACTGACCGAGTTACTCCCTTCTGTCAGTCTCTCACATGCTCCCATTCTTCTCAGCACACAGACTAAAAGTGTCTTTGTGTTCAGAACAGCTTGACTACACGCTGAAGTTTGAACACCTTTTTCCAAACGATATGACCTCAGCTGGTGTTTTGAGGATGGTGGCAGAGAGCACTGCCCAACACTCGGTGCTTGCTGTAGGATATTATAGACATGCTTTTCATCAAAACATCCTTCTCATCCGGAGAGAAGTGTTTAAATCTAGGATAAAAGTTGTCTCGACTTCCGAGCGACTCGCTGTGACTGTTGTGCTCCAAAAACAACTCTCTGATTGTTTCATTGCTGGGAGGTTACTGACCTGTAGATGAGATGGAAGTTGCCGACTCGTCTGCGAGCGCTCGATAAGTAAAGTAGACGACCAGAATCTGCTGGTGACCGGAGCAGCTGTGAGGTGTATTTTGATAAATGGCCTGCATTTGTATAGTGCTTTACTCAGTCCCTAAGGACCCCAAAGCACTTTACATATCCAGTCATCCACCCATTCACACACTGGTGATGGCAGCTACGTTGTAGCCACAGCTGCCCTGGGGCGCACTGACAGAGGCGAGACTGCCGGACACTGGCGCCACCGGGCCCTCTGACCACCACCAGTAGGTAAACACGGGGTTAGTATCTTGCCCTTGCATGCAGCCAGGAGGCAGCCTGGGATCGAACCACCGACCTTCTGATTAGTGGCTGACCTGCTCTGCCACCTGAGCTACAGCCACCACCAGACCTCTTTTCAGTCAGTTTCACCTACACTCAACAAAAATATAAACGCAACACCTTTGTTACTGCTCCCATTCCCCATGGGATGGACGTAGAGACCTAAAATTCATTCCAGATACACAATATAACCATCCCTCCCAAACAGTGGTCACAAATCAGTCCAAATGTGTGGTAGTGGGCACATCTGCTATATTGAGATAATCCATCCCACCTCACAGGTGTGCCACACCAGGATGCTGATCTGACATCATGAGTAGTGCACAGGTGTACCTCAGACTGCCCACAACAAAAGGCCACCCTGGAATGTGCAGTTTTGTCTCACAGCAAAATGCCACAGATGCCACAAGCAATGAGGGAGCGTGCAATTGGCATGCTGACAGCAGGAATGTCAACCAGATCTGTCGCCCGTGCATTGAATGTTCATTTCTCAACCATAAGCCGTCTCCACAGGCGTTTCAGAGAATATGGCAGCACATCCAACCGGCCTCACAACCGCAGACCTCGTGTAACCACACCAGCCCAGGACCTCCACATCCAGCAGGTTCACCTCCAAGATCGTCTGAGACCAGCCACCCAGACAGCTGCTGGAACAATTGGTTTGCACAACCAAACAATTTCTGCACAAACTGTCAGAAACCGTCTCAGGGACGCTCAACTGCATGCCCGTCGTCCTCATCGGGGTCTTGACCTGACTCCAGCTCGTCGCCGTAACAGACTTGTGTGGGCAAATGCTCACATTCGATGGCGTCTGGCATGTTGGAGAGGTGTGCGCTTTACGGATGAATCATGGTTCACATTGTTCAGGGCAGATGACAGCTGAGAATGTCCCAGTTCTTGCATGGCCAGCATACTCACCGGACATGTCACCCATTGAGCATGTTCGGGATGTGCTTGACCGGCGTATACGACAGCGTGTACCAGTTCCCACGAATATCCAACAACCTCGCACAGCCATTGAAGTGGAGTGGACCAACATTCCACAGGCCACAATTGACAATCTGATAGACTCCATGCGACGATGTGTTGCACTGCATGAGGCAAATGGTGGTCACACCAGATACTGACCGGTTCTGGGTCCCCAGACCCCCAATAGCGCAAAAACTGCACATTCCAGGGTGGCCTTTTGTTGTGGGCAGTCTGAGGTACACCTGTGCACTACTCATGATGTCAGATCAGCATCCTGATGTGGCACACCTGTGAGGTGGGATGGATTATCTCAATATAGCAGATGTGCCCACTACCACACATTTGGACTGATTTGTGACCACTGTTTGGGAGGGATGGTTATATTGTGTATCTGGAATGAATTTTAGGTCTCTACGTCCATCCCATGGGGAATGGGAGCAGTAACAAAGGTGTTGCGTTTATATTTTTGTTGAGTGTAGAAACTGCGAGCAGCTTGCCACAGTCAATACTTGACAACTGGTCAGGCAACACACATGTTTACTAGTGACCAGTGGTAACTATTTGCTGGCTAACTGGTCTCTAGGTCGATGTGACTGGTGGAGTCATGTAACACTGCTGATGGGGAAACATTGTTGAGCGTTAGTAAAGGGCTCCTCCTCATTCATAGCGTACAGTTAGCATTACATGTCATCATCGATGAGGACGTGGACATCAGAGTTAACTTACCCTACGGCAGTGGGAGGGGATTAACCTCTTTACATTTACCTGGTCACCAGCAACCCATCTGGGGTGAGCAGCAGGTTTAGCTCAGCATAACCAAATGTAACAGCTGACATGATTGTGTGAGCCTGAGATTAATGAGGTTAATGAACAAGCTGGAACGTTCCACATGTGACAAACACTAAACTATAGACGGCTGGTTTTACACTTCCTGTTTATTCATGTTCATGAGCTGTTTTGTTAGTAACTGTGCCAACAGCACTAAAATAAGACACGCTCCACATGTAAGCTTCCCAGGGAACAGTTGCTGGGTTGAATGCCGCTGATGTGCCCGTGAGCACTGTGTTGCTCTTTGTTCGCTCCAACAACAGCCTCCTTGTTGCTTCAGCTTTCAGCTACTGATCACATGAGAGCTGCTAATGATCTTATACAAGTACGACCGCAGCGTTGGTTTGTTCGGTGAAGTGTTGACGTTTTTATACATTTGTCCACTCAGTTTGTGGAGACACACACACACACACACACACACACACACACACACACACACATCCATGTGACAGGTGAGCAGTGTGAACCTGAGAACACACACGTGGTTTCACACGTTGTGTTTGTGTGTGAGGCCCGATCACAGCACGACTGGGTCGGAGGAGCCCAGTGATGCTGTGGCTGGTTCAGCAGGTTCGCACAGAGGCTCACAGGGTGAAGATGGAGGCCGGAGCGTGGACGGAGCCTGCAGCAGGGTCTTCAAATGTTGGGGCCTGTCAGTTATTTTTAGGTCACACACAGGCTACACTCAGCACACACTAGCGCCACCTGCTGACAACATATCAGGTGTGTAGACAGCCACTGTGTGTGTGTGTGTGTGTGTTATCGCATGTAGCGGAGCTGGTCGGGCTCTCTAAGCCAAAGGTCTTCTCTGTAGTGACGCTGCTCTCCACATTCAGGCTGTAAGCAGGTCCCACACACCCACAGCCAGCTGTGACAGGACCAGCGTGCTTTCAACAACATGTGAGTCTCTGTCCATGTGAGGGAAGTCTGCTCTTGTACTTGATGCCTTTTCTGTCTGTGTCTGCAG